ATTTATGCCATTAATAAAATCAATTTTTTTTTTTTAAAAAAGACAGTTTTGCTCTTGTTGCCCAGGCTGGAGTACAATGGCAAGATCTCCGCTCACTGCAACTTCTGCCTCATGGGTTCAAACAATTCTCCTGCCCCAGCTTCCCAAGTAGCTGGGATTACAGGCGCCCACCACCACACCCAGCTAATTTTTGTATTTTTAGTAGAGACAGGGTTTCACCATGTCAGCCCGGCTTGCTCTCCAACTCCCGACCTCAGGTGATCCACCTGCCTTGGCCTCCCAAAGTACGGGAATTAACAGGTGTGAGCCATGGTCCCCAGCTATTGTAAAGGTTTTCTAGCTTCTGAGTATTCATATATATTAAATTGGATTGAATACATACTTATACAAAACACACTTTAAGTTAGGGAGCTTACAGTCCCATAGGGAATGTAAATATTTAAGATAAGTTTGTTTTTGTTTTTGTTTTTGTTTTTTTCCCCCGGAGATGAAGTCTTGCTGTCAGGCTGCAGTGCAGTGGTGCGATCTTGGCTCACTGCAACCTCCGCCTCCCGAGTTCATATAATTCTCCTGCCTTAGCCACCTGAAGTAGCTGGGATTATAGGCGCCCACCACCACACCCGGCTAACTTTTGAATTTTTAGTAGAGACAGGGTTTCACCACATTGGCCAGGCTGGTCCCAAACTCCTGACCTCGTGATCTGCCCGCCTCAGCCTCCCAAAGTGCTGGGATTTACAGGCATGAGCCACCGTGCCCGGCTGATAAGTTTTTCATAGTTGGGTCTTCAATCCATCTGGAATTTTTGTGTCTATGGTAGAAGTTAGAGGTCTAATTTTACTATATGGTTGGCCAATTGTCCCTTCTCTGCTGATGGATTAGCCCATCCACTCTCTACTGATTTGTAATGCCACTTCTGTAATATACTCAAGTTCTCATATAAGCTTGTTTTTCTGCTCTCTACTCTGTTCAGTTGATCTCTGTGTACCTCCTGGGTCACTGACGTATCTGGTAAGCTATTCCTTATCCCTCCTTCCCCACCTCCATCAGCTTTTATTCTTTTTCACCATTTTCTTGGCTCTTTGGGGCCTCCTGTTCATCCATACGATTTTGGAATAAGCCTGGAGACAACTTTTTTTTTTTTTTTTTTTTTTTTTGAGACGGAGTTTCGCTCTTGTTACCCAGGCTGGAGTGCAATGGCGCGATTTCGGCTCACCGCAACCTCCGCCTCCTGGGTTCAGGCAATTCTCCTGCCTCAGCCTCCTGAGTAGCTGGGATTACAGGCACGCGCCACCATGCCCAGCTAATTTTTTGTAGTTTTAGTAGAGACGGGCTTTCACCATGTTGACCAGGATGGTCTCGATCTCCTGACCTCGTGATCCACCCGCCTCGGCCTCCCAAAGTGCTGGGATTACAGGCTTGAGCCACCGCGCCCGGCCTCTGGAGACAACTTTTAATGGAATTGCATTAAAATGATAGATTATACATTTATAGGTTAATTCAGGCGCAGCTGCCATCTTCTCATCTTTAAATGTGAAGTATTTATTTATTTAGATCTTAGATCTTTTTTATCTTTCAATAAAATTATATTGTTTTCCTCCTAAAAGCCTGCACATTGTTTGCTAGATTTATTCCTATTTTATAGATTAGTTGTGATTGTTCACAGTATTTTAAAACTTTATTTTCTCCAGCCTGGGCAACACAGGAAGACCCCATCTCTACAAAAAATACAATAAATTACCTGGGTGGCACCTGCCTGTAGTCCTAGCTACCCAGAGGCTGAGGAGGGAGGATCACTTTAGCCCAAGAGGTTGAGGCTGCAGTGAGCCGTGATCATCCCACTGCATACCAGCCTGGGTGACACAGTGAGACTCTTTCTCAAAAAGTAAAAAATATACCAGGCATGGTGGCTCACTCCTGTAATCCCAGCACTTTGGGAGGCTTTTGGCAAGAGGATCGCTTGAGCCCAGGAGTTCAAGGCCAGCCTGGGCAACACAGTAAGACCTTGTCTCTATAAAAAAATTTTTTTTGATTTTATAGTCCCAAAAAGAATTTTTTTGTAATCCCAGCTACATGGGAGGCTGAGGCAGGAGTACGGTTTGAGCCTGGGAGTTCTCATATAAGGCTGCAGTGAGCCATGATTGTGCCACTGCACTCCAGCCTGGGCAACAGAGTGATTGAGACCCTGTCTCAAGAAAATCAATAAAAATAAAATTGTACTTTCTAGTTATATGTAGCTAATAATGTACGGGTATACTTATTTTTATAAGTAAGTTTTGTATCCTGCATTTTTTCTGAATTCTTTTAGCTTATCTGTTATCTTGTGTTTTCTCCAAAGACAACCATATAATCTGCAAATTATGGCAATTTCTTCCTTTAAAATCCTTATAACTTTTCCTTACTGCCCAAATTAGAACCATAACACAGTGTTGACTAGAAGGTGTGATAGGGACAACATTAGGATGCCCACTGTTTTTTACAGAGAGTGCTTCTAGCCGGGCCCTGTGGCTCACGCCTGTAATCCCAACACTGGGAGGCTAAGGCTGGCTGATAACCTGAGATCAGGAGTTCAAGACCAGCCTGGCCCATGTGGTGAAACCCTGTCTTACTAAAAAATAAAAAAATTAGCTGGCTGTGGTGGTGGGCACCTGTAATCCCAGCTACTCAGGAGCCTGAGGCAGGGAGAATTGCTTGAACCCAGGAGGCAGAGGGTGCAGTGAGCTATCATGCCACTGTGCTGTAGCATGGGCGACAGCAAGACTCCATCTCAATCAATCAATCAATCAATAGAATGCTTCCATTGTTTTATCATTAAGTATAAAGTCTGCTGTACCGTTAAAAAAAAATGTGACTTTAAAAAATAGTAGACCAGGAGAGATGGCTCACACCTGTAATCCAAGCACTTTGGGACACTGAGGCTGGAGGATCACTTGAGGCCAGGAGTTCAAGGCCAGCCTGGGGAACATAGTGAGACCCTCTCTCTACCTTTTTAAAAATAACAAAAATAACATTTAAAATTAAAAATAGTATATTGCTTCCTCTCCCATTGTCTATCTACCTATCTATATAAATATAGATAGATAGATGATTTTTTAAGAGAGTCTTGTTGTGTTGCCCAGGCTGGAGTGCAGGAGCATGATCTCAGCTCACTGTAACCTCCACCACCCAGGTACAAGCAATTCTCCTACCTTAACCACCTGAGTATCTAGGATTAACAAGCATGTGCCACCACGCCTGGCCAATTTTTGTATTTTTAGTAGAGACAGGGTTTCGCCATGTTGGCCAGGCTGGTCTTGAACTCCCGGCCTCAACTGCTCTGCCCACCTTAACTTTCCAAAGTGGTGGGATTACAGGCATGAGCCACTGTGCCAGCTATATATATTTTTGTATTTGACCCAGGGTCTCACTCTGTCACCCAGGGTTAAGTGAGTGCCATGGTGTGATCACAGCTTGCTGCAGCCTCAACCTCCTGGGCTCAAGCAATTCTCCCACCTCTCCCTCCCAAGTAGCTTGGGACCACAGGCATGCACCACCATGCCCGGTTAATTCTTTTTAATTTTAGTAGAGATGAAGTCTAACTGTGTTGCCCAGGCTGGTCTTGAAATCCTGGGTTTAAACAATCTCCTGCCTCAACCTTCCAAAATGCTGGGATTACAGGCATGAGCCACCTTGCCCGGCCCCCTCATTAATTTTCTAAGGTGAAACTATCCTTGTAGTCTTGGGCTAAATTCTAATAAGCTGCGTTGACTTAGGGGTTTTTTGTTTCAGTGTTTTTTGGATAGTTTTTATATTGCTGGGATAAATTTGCTCTTATGTTAGTATTTTTGTATTGATGTTTGTAAGTGAAATCCACCTGAAGTTTTCCTTTGAACTGTCCAATTTGGTTATCAAGATTATACTCATAAAATAAGTTGGTTAGTTTTCACTGTCTCTCTCTGTTCACTAGAATTGTTTGTATTTGTAAGCGATTACCTACTCTTGCAGGTTTGATAGCACATAAGGTAAAGGAAAAGAAGATAGAAATAGGTAAGGTTGGAATATTGAGTCATGTGGCAATATGTTATAAAGGCGGCCATGGAAATCCCAGAGGGAACTACAAGAATGCCTGAGCAGCATTTTAGTTTTATGTTCCTGCATAAATCACTCTTACTATGTGCTGGGCACGTTAAAAATAATTTGTTTAAAGGTATAGTTGAGGTAGAATAGCATGAATTTGTGATGGATGCAGTCTGCCCTTTTTAGGAGGACTTTTTTCTACTGTTACACTGCCTACCTTGCTCCACTTCATTGTACTCAAGGTAAGCCTCATTATCGTTAGTATTGGCTTTCACAAGGAGGCAGTCTCATGACTTGGCCTTTGTAGGAATACATTATTAGATGAATAGATGGTTGGTTAATGGCTTTCTTCTCCTGCTCAGACTCTTGTCTCCTAGAAATAAAGGGCTCTATTTGTAAAGACCATGGGTTGAAGGACATTGAGAAAGAGGCTCCTGAAACGTAAGTTATCTTTCTCGCCCAGGTGAGATTTCAATGGAAAAAGTCAAGGTAAAACGTTATGTGTCCGGAAAGAGGCCAGACTATGCCCCTATGGAGTCTTCAGATGAGGAGGATGAAGAATTTCAGTTCATTAAAAAAGCCAAAGAACAAGAAGCAGAGCCTGAGGAACAAGAGGAGGATTCATCTAGTGACCCCCGGCTACGGCGTTTGCAGAACCGTATTAGTGAAGATGTGGAAGAGAGGTAATGTCTATGATGGTGTTTTCCTTGAACATGAACCTCTACAGCTTAACAATAGCAATAATAGCTAATACTTGAATAGTACTGCCAAGTAGATTATGTTTGCTAATTCTTGTAATCCACACAATAACTTTATAAGATAGGTGTTATTATCCCCATTTCACAAAAGGAGGAAACTAAGAGCACAAAGGGGCTAAGAAAGTAACATGACCAAAGTTACAAAGTGGCAGCTTCAGAAAATGACAGGTTACTTCTGGCCTAAAGCTCCTTATCGGAGTAGAAAACACAGATCATTCGTTGGCTGTTGAAGTAAGTTTTTTAGCACAGATGTTTTATAAACTTTGATAAATTGATTTTATACATCTACTTAATTCTAAATGCTAATATGGGGAAATGACACTGAAGTAGGAGAAAAGACCTCATAAAGTTCTCATGGTGGAAAGAGAGCCGCCCAGTGGGCAATTTTGTATGTTATGTGTCGATTGAGACATTACCTTATAGAATAGGCCAAGGATCCTGAAGTTTCAGGGTTCATAATTGTTTCAGGAGATTTTTCACAGGGCTCCTGGGTCAAAACGGTTCTGTTTATTTCAGTTATGGTAGTTAGAGCCAAATAACTTAATAAGTATTTATATCGTAACAACTTTGTCACTTGAAAATTAAAGTGCCCATCAGGAAAAAACTTTTATTCATTCTCACTTTACTACAGTTACTAGTGGAATTTGTGTGCCTGTTAGACACTGACAGCCTTTCAAACCTTGGAATCAGCACTGTCACGTTTTCATGTCTTGTTTTATGTTGATTTTCATGGTATCTTTTGCCTTTTTCACAGCAGCCACCAAAACCCAATTTCACAAAAATACGATGTTATTCAAAGGAATGTAGTGTGGCTTAATGTTGAAACTGAATTACCTTGAGCTATTAAAAATATCCCAATGCATCCCTCTAAGTTTGCTGGCTTGCTGTGGTGCCCCAGGATGCCTCAACATACATTTAGTATTTCAGACCCAACTCGACTATTTGCTCTGACATCCTAGTTTAGTTTCTTTAATCTACACCTCAGTTTCCTCCACTTCAAGACTGTAATATTAGATGGGCACGGTGGCTCACACCTGTAATCCCAGCACTTTGAGAGGCTAAGGCAAGCAGATTGCCTAAGTCCAGTTCAAGACCAGCCTGGACAACATAGTAAAACCCTGTCTCTACAAAAAAATACAAAAATTAGCCAGGCGTGGTGGCACACCTATACTTCCAGCTACTCAGGAGGCTGAGGTGGGAGAATCACTTGAGCCTGGGAGGCAGAGGTTGCAGTAAGCCAAGATCATGCCACTGCACTGCAGCCTGGGTAACAGAGCAAAACCCTGCCTCAAAAAAAAAAAAAAAAAAAGACTTCAATATTAATGAAAGCAAACAATGTGCTTTGTGGCTATGGAATTGTGGTTCATGCTACTTCATTTTTATGACATTGCTGTTAAATTTGGAGATACTGTTTTTCAGATTGGCTCGACATCGGAAAATAGTGGAACCTGAAGTGGTAGGAGAAAGTGACTCAGAAGTAGAAGGAGATGCTTGGCGCATGGAACGAGAAGATAGCAGTGAAGAAGAGGAAGAGGAAATTGATGACGAGGTATGATAAAGGAACATGGGAAGTATTTTTCTGGGTATAAGAAAAAGTTGAGGCCAGTGTTCATTTGTTGAAGCACTAAAAACACAAAATCTCTGCTTTTGGCAGGGCTCTGATCATGTTCCTTGTTTGCTGGGATGAAATTAAAAATAGAATGGTACTAAGTTGTGGTTTTTGTTTTCTTTTTTTCTTGTGAGACAGAGTCTTACCAGACACCAGGCTGGAGTGCAGTGGCACAATCTTGGCTCACTGCAACCTCTGCCTCCCGAGTTCAAGCAATTCTCCTGCCTCAACCACCCAACTAGTTGAGACTACAGGCGTGCACCACCACGCCCAGCTAATTTTTGTATTTTTTTAGTAGGGATGGGGTTTCACCATGTTGGCCAGGATGGTCTCAATGTCTTGACCTCATGATCCGCCTGCCTTGGCCTCCCAAAGTGCTGGAATTACAGGCATGAGCCACCGTGCCCGGCCTTTTTTTTTTTTTTTTTTTTTCCCTCACTCTGTTGCCCAGACTGGAGTGCAGTGGCGCAATCTCAAGTCACTGCAACCTCCGCCTCCCAGGTTCAAGCGATTCTCCTGTCTCAGCCTCCCAAGTAGCTGGGGTTACAGGCGCGTGCCACCACACCTGGCTAACTTTTTGTATTTTTAGTAAAGACAGGGTTTCACCCTGTTAGGATGATCTCGATTTGCTGACCTTGTGATCTGCCTACCTTGGCCTCCCAAAGTGCTGGGATTACAGGTATAAGCCATCGCTCCCATCCAGTTGTATTTGTTTATATTTGCATTTGTTGTGTTTGATGAGACAAAAACAAAAAGCTACAGACCATCTCACTAACTGGCTTACATATGTGACTTGATAGGAAATAGAGCGGCGTCGTGGCATGATGCGTCAGCGAGCACAGGAGAGAAAAAATGAAGAGATGGAAGTCATGGAAGTGGAAGATGAGGGACGTTCTGGAGAGGAGTCAGAATCAGAGTCTGAGTATGAAGAGTACACAGACAGTGAAGATGAGATGGAGCCTCGCCTTAAACCAGTCTTCATTCGAAAGTAAATATCTCACAAGCCAGATCTGAATCCACTTAATTACCTCTTTTCAGGCAAAGAGACAAGTCTGTTTTCCATGGTGCTATTCTGAAATCTAAGCACTGAGTGAAAGTGCTTTTGCCATTGCTCTAGCCTTGCCAGACTAGCTGCTGAAGAATATCTTGGTGTTAGCAGAGAACCTGAGTTTGTTTTCGCATATCTTTTTTTTTCTAGTTGAAGAGCATATATTGGCTGGGCACAGTAGGTAGCCCACACCTATAATCCCAGCACTTTGTGAGGCTTAGGCAGGTGGATCATAAAGTCAGGAGATTGAGACCATCCTGGCCACCATGGTGAAACCCCGTCTCTACTTAAAAAAAAAAATTAGCTGGGCATGGTGGCGCACACCTGTAGTCCCAGCTATTCGGGAGGTTGAGGCAGGAGAATTGCTTGAACACAGGAGGCAGAGATTGCAGTGAGCCAAGACCATTGCACCACTGCCCTACGGCCTGGGTAACAGTGCAAGACTCTGTCTCAGAAAAAAGAAAAAAGTATGTATCTGTCCAAAGCCTTTATTTTTTATTTTTATTTTGGAGATGGAGTTTTGCTTTTGTTGCCCAGGCTGGAGTGCAGTGGCTCAGGCTCGGCTCACCACAGCCTCTACCTCCAGGGTTCAAGCGATTCTCCTGCCTCAGCCTCCTCAGTAGCTGGGATTACAGGTGTACGCCACCATGCCCAGCTAATTTTTTTTTTTTTTTGAGTAGAGGTGGGGTTTCTCCATGATGGCCAAGATGGTCTTGAACTCCTGACCTCAGGTGATCTTCCTGCCTCAGCCTCCCAAAATGCTGGGATTACAGGCGTGATCCACCTTGCCCAGCCAGGGCCATATAGTTTTAAGCACAAGATTAAACTCAACAGGCAAATTCCTATTCCTTTACTAATGGTTAAAAATCCTACTTCTTACAGGCCAGCAGGTTCTTTGCTGTTCAGGCAGTTCTCAAAGATAAATGTGATTTTAGTACTCTGGGATGATGGCTGGGTACAGTGGCTTATGCCTGTAATCCCAGCACTTCGGGAGGCCAAGGTGGGTTGATCATAAGGTCAGGAATTCAAGACCAGCCTGGCCAACATGATGAAACTCCATCTCTACTAAAAAAATAAAAAATTATCCAGGCATGATGGTGGGCACCGGTAATCCCATCTACTCAAGAGGCTGAGGCAGAGAACTGCTTGAACCTGGGAGGCAGAGGTTGTAGTGAGCTGAGATCGCACCACTGCACTCCAGCCTGGGCAACAGAGCAAGACTGGATCTCAAAAAAATAAAAAAAAAAAGGACCTGGGATGACTCAGCGTTTTTTGTTCTTTGCAAATACAGCCAAAGATTGTTTGGTTTTTTCTGATTTAGATGGGACTAGGTCTGGGGGAACAGAGAACTCCACTCTAAGGACTTTGGGCAATTAACAGGACCTCTGTGATACAGGAAGGATCGAGTGACAGTTCAAGAACGTGAAGCCGAAGCATTGAAACAGAAGGAGCTGGAGCAGGAAGCAAAACGCATGGCCGAGGAGAGGCGCAAGTACACACTCAAGGTACTAGAGAGTGGTTCCAAGGATTGAGTGCAAGAAATAGTGTATAATCATGTTTGTCTGAGGAGAGTAAAGTCCAGGCTGAATTGTTCTCCCTATCTAGATTGTCGAAGAGGAAACCAAGAAAGAGTTGGAAGAGAACAAGCGATCCCTGGCTGCACTGGATGCACTTAACACTGATGATGAAAATGATGAGGAGGAATATGAGGCATGGAAAGTTCGGGAGCTAAAAAGAATCAAGAGGGACAGAGAAGATAGAGAAGCGTGAGTAAAAAGATGAACCTAGAGTTAATGCTGCTAATGGAACAGGTTTCTAGTAGAATAGTTCTGAGACTCATTATCTACTGTGACTATGAGTTCCTTTCTAGCCATCTACAGAGTTCTTAGTGCTGGGTGAGTTTCCTATAATTGGAATGTGAGTTTAACTTGTTACAGTGAAATCAGGCAAGAGAAACACATTTGTCACATGTGTCCATAACAGAGTACCAGCCAGTGCTCCCCGTAGTTTCCTAACAGACACAAAAACCAGTAACTGTTAGTAGTATCTCTTACTGTGTACAACCCAACCCACAATTGAGTGGCTTGAAACAATTTATTACTTTTCACAATTTTGGAGGTTGGCTGAACAGCTCCTCTACTGGTTTCACCTGGGCTCACTTATGTAGTTGCATCCAGCTAGAGGGGTGATTGGTCTAGAAACTTAAAAGGGCTTCACTCACATGCCAGTAGTAGGTGCTGGCTATCAGTTAGGATGCCTCACTTCTCCACTGGATTAGACTGGCTTCCTTACATAGCAGTCTCAGGGCACCATTCTAAGAGGACAAGCTCTCCTAACACTTAGGTTCCAGAACTCATACATCCGTTCTGCCACATACTGGTCAAAGCAAGTCACAAGGCCAATCTAGCTTTAAGCAGGTGGAGAAATAGACTGTACCTCTGGATAGGAGCAGCAGCAAAGTCATACTTTTTGAAAACGAGCATGCGTACTGTGAGGGGAAGAATTTGTGGCACTTAAATAATCTACAATGTGTTAGAGCAGAACCATTTTTCTTTTTTTTTTTTCTTTTTGAGATGGAGTTTCGCTCTTTTGCCCGGGCTGGAGTGAAAAGTCACAACCTTGGCTCACTGCAACCTCTGCCTCCCAGGTTCAAGCAATTCTCCTGTCTCAGCCTCTGGAGTAGCTGGGATTACAGGCATGTGCCACCACACCTGGCTAATTTTTATATTTTTAGTAGAGATGGGGTTTCACCATGTTGGTCAGGCTGGTCTCAAACTTCTGACCTAAGGTTATCTGCCCACCTCGGCCTCCCAAAGTGCTGAGATTACAGGTGTGAGCCACCATGCCCAGTGCAAGCAGAATCATTTCTGAGCTGCATCACCCATTCCTGTAAATTACTAAGTATGAGAGGATAATCCCAGATTACAAAGGGAAACAATCAATAGATAACTCTAGGCTGGGCGCAGTGGTTCATACCTGTAATCCCAGCACTTTAGGAGGCTGAGGTGGGTAGATCACTTAAGGCTGGGAGTTAGAGACCAGCCTGGCCAACATGGCAAAACACCATCTATACTATAATATGAAAATTAGCCATCTTGTTTGTGTGTGCCTGTTAGTCCCAGATACTCAGGGTGCTGAGGCAGGAGAATCACTTGAACCCGGGAATTGGAGGTAACAGTGAACTGGTATCATACCACTGCACTCCAGCCTGGGCTGGAGTGACACGTCTGAAAAAACAACCAAAATTTGCCTGAATATGAGCCATATGAGCCATACATAATAGATAACTCCATCCTCATCCTGTAGTTTCTTTTTTTTTTTTGAGACGGAGTTTCGCTCTTGTTACCCAGGCTGGAGTGCAATGGCGCGATCTTGGCTCACCACAAACTCCGCCTCCTGGGTTCAGGCAATTCTCCTGCCTCAGCCTCCTGAGTAGCTGGGATTACAGGCACGCGCCACCATGCCCAGCTAATTTTTTGTAGTTTTAGTAGAGACGGGGTTTCACCGTGTTGACCAGGATGGTCTCGATCTCTTCACTTCGTGATCCACCCGCCTCGGCCTCCCAAAGTGCTGGGATTACAGGCATGAGCCACCGCGCCCGGCCTGAGACAGAGTCTTACTCTCGCCCAGTCTGGAATACAGTGGTGCAATCTCGGCTTACTACAACCTCCACCCCCTGGGAGTCAAGTAATTCTCCTGCCTCAGCCTCCAGAGTAGCTGGGACTACAGGCATTTGCCACCATGTCTGGCTAATTTTTTTATTTTTAGTAGAGGCTGGGTTTCACCATTTTGGCCAGGCTGGCCTAGGACTCCTGGCGTCAGGACTCCTGACATCAGGTAATCCACCCACCTTGGCCTCCCAGAGTGCTAGGATTACAGGCATGACCATCATGACCAGCCCTCAGTCTGTAGTTTCTAAGGTTCTTACCCTGGACTTGAACGAGTAGGAATCCAAGTGCCGTTTTAAATTGTACACAAGGCTGGACATGGTGGCTCATATCTGGAATCCCAACACTTTGGGAGGCCAAGGCGGGCGGATCACAAGGTCAGGAGTTTGAGACCATCCTGACCAACATGGTGAAACCCTATCTTTACTAAAAATAAGAGAATTAGCCAGGCATAGTAGTATACACCTGTAATCCCAGCTACTCAGGAGGCTGAGGCAGGAGAATTGCTTGGACCCGGGAGGTGGAAGTTGCAGTGAGCCAAGATCATGCTACTGCACTCCAGCCTGGGTGACAGAACGAAACTGCATCTCAAAAAAATAAAAATAAAACTGTACACAAAATTATGTGTATATATGCATTTTTTTGGAAAAGGGGATATCACCCCCTCTCTCCCCAACAATGGCTAAAAAGTTACTGCAATCTAATTAATGATAATCTTCGGTTTATGACATGCAAGCACCTATATGATTCTGATACACTTACATAAAAGAAGATCAGCGAAGTCCTGGACAGTTATTTTAAATTCACTGATTTTTTTTAAAGCTAAAAATACTTTTTAGGGAAAGAGAATTCGTAATGTTGCAAAATGAAGCAGTAATAGTATGTCTGAACCTCACAACGGCTAGAATCAACTTTTGGAAGTGGACAATACCTAGTCTGGCAAAAATAATGAAGACCAACTCACCTTTTTTTTTTTTTGAGACGGAGTTTCGCTCTTGTTACCCAGGCTGGAGTGCAATGGCGCGATCTCGGCTCACTGCAACCTC